ATTCTCAAACAGCAGGGATATCTCTTATTTTTATTCTGAGTAAACCACATGTTCTTTGAGGCATTTGTTTCTTCATTTTTCAAAATTTTTTTTCCCCATTAGTTGAACGCATATCCTTTCTCTCTTTAATATGAGTGTGCAGTGCCTGACCCAAGGTTCAGAGCTGGGAAAAGGTGAGAAGCAGTGTTCAGGAATGAATTGACCTGACTGACATTTGTCTGTAGGTTTGAATATTACTGGTCAGCATCTATCCAGTGCCTGCTAGATGTTTTACCATGCTATTTCACTGACTTCACATAATAGCAGTGCAAAGTAGGCATTTAGAATCACAGGGGAGAGACCTAAGGGTCAGAGACATTGGGTGATTTGTTAAGGCCATAAGGAGGCTAAGTGGTGGGGCCCATTTCACACTAGAGCCAATATTTCCTTTCTTGAAATAAGTGAAGAAGAAAAATGCAGCCATAAGACAACAAATAACATTTGGAAGCTCTATGTATGTGTCCTATTTTTCTTTAAAGAAGGTATGTGTGTGTGTAGGGTTGAGTTAGTGTGGAGGGAGTGGTGAGCTTTAGAGGAAAACAAGTGTTTGAATCATTTTAAACAGCAGAAAACCCAAAAGTTACTTATATTTTCCTGAATGATAAATGTTAGAAGCTTAACATTTTGTTCCTCCATTAATTCAGCAAATGTTTCATAAGCACAGGTCATTTATGTATTATCTGATGTAGAGGTACAGATGATATAAAAAAGGGTAGAAATCTTGATTTTTCTATAGCTTGGAGTGTTTGGAAAATCTTACTACTGACATTTTTCAGGTAATCATGAGATAAAGTGAACTAGGATTTACGTGGGAGGTAAGATAATGTCTACCAAGGCTTTAAAATAGTCTTTGAATGTTCCCCTTGCATACATTTCAGAAATAACTCTTTCCCTCTTCTACCTAATTAAAATCTTCCTGCACTTGGAATCTGGTTTGGCTAAGCCACGCCCACTCCTTCAGGACACTTGCAGGTAGGTAAAGCCTTCCCGTTGGAGTTCCTTTCTGCCACAGGACAGAACTATTGCCTGGGGGCTATCTTCCCTTCAGGGCTTACCATTTTCCACACTTAATTCTTCTGGTTTTGACATGCCCAGCAAAAAGTTATTCTCCAACAGTCACTTGGTTTCACCAACACCTAGTCTGTTTCTTGGCCCTCAGGACTACTATTTCAAAAAGCAAATCTGAAAGACTTTGGGCAATAACTGAAAAGTTTGATTTGGATATGAGAGTTAAGCCGAGGACAGGAAAGAGCTGCTCTTATAAGGCAGGAGTAGGGAGCAGACTTGAATTTGAATCCTGGATCTGCTGTGTGACCTGACCTTGAGTATATTATGTTACTTCTTCGAGATTCAAATTTCTTACCTTACTATGGTGATAATACTACTTGTCTCCCAGGGTTTATATGAAAATTAACTGAGGGAAGGCAGAGAAAGTGCTTACTAAAGGATTTGGCACATGTTAGGATTTAACAAATGGCAAATACAAACATGGAATATTAATGTATACAGATGATATTTCCCATCACTATCGCAATTCCTCTTTCCTGGAATATTCGCACTTATTCCCTAGGCTTCACTCTCTTTCCCAGTTATGTTTATAAACACATAGTAAGACTTAATTTATACATAGAAATAATAATTTATAAACTGAAAACCTACCTAATTGTCTAGGTACTTTTCTGTTGCCAAGCAGCCACATTAACTGTTCTCTCCCAGGACCTTACCTGTGTAAGAGCACTCCATTCACACTGACCACAAAGCAATTGGTTAAAAAGTAAAATCCGAGTTAATTCTGTTCACCTAACCACTCTTTTGGCTTTGGACGTTTAAGAGAAACTGGTTTGATTCATGCTTTCAGAGACTTACTGTAACTGACTACCCTTCCTAGTTATGATCCATGCTTACTGAACTTAAGCACACTGAAGTCATGTAGGGAGGCTTAGAGAAAGATTGAGATTCCTTGGATCCATTCCAGATGTTTCTTAGTCTATAAACTTGGGATTGAGAATCTGACTTTGCACAAGTTTTCTGGATGATTCTAATGTTCATTCACATTGGGGCTCTACAGATTTGGAATGGTTTGCACATTTTTCTGTCTATGATGTAATCATTTTGCAATGGCAGGAGAATATGATGAATACCTAGAAAGCTTGTGGTTGTAGAGCAAATAAACGATTACTTATTGCAAATTTGTTCTCTTCCCTTTTAAAATATATATTTGTGTCTAGTCAGGAACTGAAAAATGTGTTTATTATCCAAATCAAAACACAGCATGAGGTACTTTCCAATAAAATCAACTGTAGATTATACACAAGTCAAAGTCATCTGCTTGTTGACTGAGTTCGAAATCCTTCTAGGCACCAGAAAAAAAGTTTAATTTAAGATTTTCATCTTTCCATATATTACAGGGTTTCTGTAATGGATTTTGTGCATCTGAAATGAAAAGATTGACAGGTCTGGATATTACAGCTTTATTAACCATTGGGTACATGGTCAGAGTTAGTGTGTAAAACATTTCTACAATACCCCCTAGGCTGGACTAGAGTGAATAATTTCTGTTAAGCCTGAAGGAAACAAGAGTCAAGTTACATTAAGAACACAGAAGTTGTGTTTTACTCCACAATGATCCTTTCTAAATGGAAACATATATTAAGCATAAAAATATAATGTTGAACTCAAATTAAAAATGGCAAAATGCTGGGAAATTTGAAAGAAGTCTTAAAAAATTACAAACCCAATCATGCACTGCATGGTGTTATCATTTTGGAAACTGGGGCCTTGAGACCTAATAAATGTTGGAGCAAATACATTGTAAAAATGAGTAATTGAAGGCAAAAATAATTCTCCAAAAATAATCACCACTACTTATAGAGTATTATACAGAACCAGTGTATGCCAATTATATGAAGTGCCTCATTCAGTTCTTAGAACAACCCTACATGTAGGTACTATCATTATCTCCATTTTACAGAAGGAGAGAACTGACACAGAACACCTGACTTGTCTAAGGTCGGCTAACAGATGGCGGTACTGCGGTGTGGATCCTGGTTTTTTCTGCCAGTCTACTTTCATTGCCTTCAAAGAAAAATATTTTCAGATCCTTACTGAGTGTAAAGTCTTCAGATAAGGAGAGAACTGACACAGAACACCTGACTTGTCTAAGGTCGGCTAACAGATGGCGGTACTGCGGTGTGGATCCTGGTTTTTTCTGCCAGTCTACTTTCATTGCCTTCAAAGAAAAATATTTTCAGATCCTTACTGAGTGTAAAGTCTTCAGATTAGCAATGGCAATTTATGTGTGTAATAATGTTAACATGACAGGTAGTTTGATATAAACCATGGAGCTTCCTGGTCACGTGGCTAGGAAATCATCAACTTTGCTTATCATTTTGGACTTTCCCTTATTTTTCTTTGAGAATTCGGATGGTTGGGAGACCCTGATGTGAATCTGGGAAATCTTACTAGGCCGAATCTGATCCCAGACTGGCTTTATTCTCTTTTGTTTTACTGTGTGGTGCAATAACACCATAGCACTATAAAAAATGCCAAGGACAAATATGCTAAAAAAGGTCGCAGGATAACAATACTGTTCCATCAAAGTATAAATCAATTCTGTAAAGAGATACGTAAGTTTCTATATTTTCCACAGCAGACAATTGGTGCTTTCCTCCATTAAACTAAGAACAGAGTTCGAGAAGTCTTATGCTCCTAAAACTGAGACTATAGATTTTTGACACATGCTGGCACTAGTGATTATTCCTTTATGTTTTGTTTAATTTAATATGTTGCTTATTTATTTTAAAACAAAGGTGGATGAAATCATTTATATTTAATATCTTAGTGCAACTTAAATTTTTCTTTGTTTATAAAGCTCTTGGTTGATTTTTCTCCTGTGAATTAGACCAAATAAAGACCCCCCTTGTGTCTTTGATCTTAGATTATGACATTAAAAGGATATTGGTTCACAGGAATTTTAATTTTATAGATTAGGCCTCTATGTTATCTTTTTGATTATATTACCTGTTTTGACTGAGATAATTGTTCAATTAAAAAGTATGTTCTTTGTTTATTATTTTACATAATGGACCTGCTGATGGCCAAAATGACAGTTAATCGGTTATTTGCAGTGCCTGTTGAACTGTGGCTAAACTTATTCTGATGGGGACGATAGGGTCTGTGTCAATTCTGTCTAAAGGCCAGATGTTAAAAATTAAATCACATATTTTGAAGTGCATTTAACACCGTAATACATTTTAAATTTTATTGAAACAAAACTTCCATATGCCCCTTATGTTAAAAAAGCATGCAGATCTCACGCTGACCCTACCTCCACAGTTAATACCCACAATCAGAATTTTACCTGAAGATGATGCTTATATCAAAATATGATAATGCACTAAGCCACAAAAGCAATCCACCAGGGATTAAATGGCTCAGTGAAGGCTACACAGCTCAGAGAGGCAAAATTCAGCTACCATTACTGCTCACAACCCAAGATACAACCCAAGATGGGTGGAAGAGGCTATTGTCTTTCTGAATTCTCCATTCACTGCTACAATGTAGAAGGAATCTTATAATGCCAATGATCTCATTTAGGGAGTCCTGTAGAAATGAATGTTCAAGGTAATTCAGACTTATATGACCTTTGAACATACGTGAATAGGAAGACAGATTTTGGTACTTGAAAGTGTACTACTGCTTTGATAGAAAATTTTATATCTATGTATTTATAGATCTTTAACTCCATATCTACATCTATATCTATCAACATGTATACTTAGTATGTATTTGCTTAGGAGTGTGGTTTGGATTATTCTGTTTATATTTATCCAGAAGACAAAATATGTCCTGATTTACTAGATTCACATTCTACCCTTGACTAATCTCCAATTAATTTTCTCTAAAATGTTTTACACACACACACACACACACACACACACACACAGGTTTTATTTCTTTACCTGGTGGGGTCCAAGCTACAAATATGGAATAAGGACCAGTTACTGTGATATTATACGGAGGCTGGATTTCTCCTGGCGTCAGAACAGGTGTTTGTACAATGTAATAATCACTAAGACTGCTACCACCGCCAGTTGTGGCTTCCAACTTATAAATGTATCTGCATTTAAAAAGAAAGCATTGTGATAAGGCAGTGCACAAGAAAGTGAACAGTGATGGCTGGCTTTTCTATCCATTGCTTAGTCCTAAATTTGTGACAAATTGCAATCCTTTGCTCCCTGTCCAGAAACTTCGCCATTGACTTGGTAGTTTTTCCAGCATAGGCAGCTCTCTCTAGACAATCGCTATTTCTGCCTCTCTCACACTTTACTTTTAACTCTCTAATAATTCATAACTTTCCTTAAAGATCTTAGGAAAGTCTTAGAATGTGCCAGTGGGTTATGGAGGACTCCAGTTAATCTTCCCCATTTTTAAATGGCTTGGAGTTCAGGGAAATATGTTTAGAAGAAGATGTTTCAAAATTGATCTGCTATTCTCTATAATAAAACTAAATTGATCTCTACTCTCTGCAGTAAAACATCTGTTGATCTAAGGTATATTTTGTGTCTGCTAAGAAATGAATGGGAATGAATTGCAAATATGTGGAACTCTTTTGTCCCGGAACCATTCATGTCTGTACATAGTGTAGCAAGTAGAGAAAATATGGTACTAGAAGAAAAAGTAGTTGGTGCAAAACACAACTCTTTAAATCTCTTTTATTGTTAGTGTAGGAATGCATGTTTTTGAAGATGGTTTGATAATTTTTGTAGTTTAAAGCTATATTTTATATATTTAACAATTCTCATGCTTTCATTTCAAAGAGAAAACTGTTTACATTTTTTAAGGAATTTCATGTGCTCTAAAGACTAATATAATGAGTTAGCTCTTGGGTTTTTGACATTTGAAATTGAACAAAAGATTTCATCAGCTATGAAATGGCTTATGAATGAGGAGTTCAGTTAACTAATTATTGTTTCAGTTGTAGATTCACTCTTTTTGTCATGAGAAATCTAAAAATATAACCATATGTTTGGTGAAGTTTTCTTTCAGTTTACCTGCTGTTGGGCTCCAGGTTTTTATCAGTGAAATTCTGCTCTTCGCTGCCACCGAGGAAAACCAAGATTCCATTACGACTCAATTGATACTGAGAAATGAGGCCATTGGGCTTTTCTGGCAGATTCCAATATAACTCCACTGTTGTAGAATTGATGATAACATGTCGAGGTGTCACCCAAACTCCTGGTAAAAAAATAACACAATGAGTTTTATTGTTAGGATAAAATAAACACCTTATCAGAAGTCACGCCATCAACTCACATACTATGAAAGTTTTATCTGTTGATAAAAAAAAATCTGGTGAGTGGTGAAAATACATTTTATTTGCTACGGAGGTGAAACATGGAATTGGGAGTACATATGATTTTTAGTGCTTTGATGATTTTATTCTTGAGTTGCCTTTAGAAAGTGAACGTTGACTAGTGGTGTAAAATTCCTCTATCTTGGCTGTTATTCTGAGTGCTGCCAAGGCCTGACAGGCTATCCAGGGATTTGAAACTTTGATGCCTATTCACTTGGAATATATGGAAGTGATTACATTCTAGTATTTATCTGAATTATCAAATTCAATGAAGAAGCGACTTTGCTGTTGTCTTTCTTACGCCACATGCTATGCGACTTGTACTCCTTTCTGGCTATTTCTTCTTGTCTCATTTACTGGCTTCTCTTTCCCCTGCTGGGCCTCAAAATGAAGTAGTGCTCCAGAAACTTAGGCCCTCTCCTCCTATTTTCCCTTTCCTTCCTCTCTTCTCCTCTTCTTTTCCAACATTCACCTTCCAGATGCTCTCCACTTAGTCTCAGGTTTAAATATCAATGCTGACTACTCCTCAAAGCATTATCTCTAGACTAAAACACGCTCCTGAACGTCAGACTCATGAATCCAACTATCTACTTGACACCTACCTCATTTGGATGACTAGTTATATATCCAAAAACTTAAAATATCCAAAACAGAACGGGTAGTTTTCCTGTCTACAATCTATTCCTCTCCTAAGCTTGTCCATTTATCCATTTTCCTGGGCAAAATACAAAACAAAACGAAACAAAAAACTTGAGGATTTCACTTTTCTCACCTCCAAAGATAATGTAGTAACAAATCCTGCAGATTCTCCACTGAGTATACATCGATTTTTATATTTTTACTGCCACTTCTACTGATCCAAGCTACAGTTCTCTCATGGACTCCTGTGATAACCTCTAGACTATTATCTATATTTTAAATCTTGTCCTTCCCTATTTAATTGCAATCTTTATAAAATTATATAAAGTACATATGTAAGAGTGTAATATTTATAAAACATACACTTTTTGAAATTATTCATATAATACCAATTCCTGATGATAACCTGTATGGTCCCACATTTTTCTGGCTCTGACCCACCTGGCACCATCCTCTCTGTCATTCACAAAGTCCTTTCCCACCCCTGAGCTTTGGCGTTTCTATTCCCTCTGCGTGATTTTGACACTACGACCTTTTTTGTCATGAAACTATGGTATTTTGCATTTTACTCTCATAGTTCAGTGCCCTGTGTAAATAGGTCAAAGGTTCTTGTTTGATTGTATCTCCTGTGTAAGTAAAGAGTATGCTTTCAAAACTTTTGAAAGGAAAATTGTCAAGACATTCAAGTGCAATTTATTTAGTGACATCCTGAAAGAATCAAGATAGTATTTAAACATGGCTTGAACTTACTGATTTTCTAAGGAACAACCTATTCTTGAGAGGAAAGTCGTTCATTTTGTTCTGAAAACTCACTCTATGTTAGATACTTGGACAAATCCATAAATCATAGTCTACATTTATGCCTGGGTTTCTCTGCCAACTTCTGCAAGATGACTCAAGCAACTAATTAGAGTTCTGATTTAAACATGATGTTAATTTGTTGATTTAAGAGATAAGGTGTAAAGGTTTCCTTCATAATCTGCTTCCTGTACTCATGTCTTTCTCACCTTGAAGAATACACTAAACATCACCAAGGTAACTAGAAAAGCTATTGCTTATTTCCACTTTGAGTCAGTCAATGCAGCCTGTGGATACAGAGGTGCTAACTAAATAAAATGAAGCAACATTCCAGATATGCTTCATGTCTTAAATAAAAGTTGGGTTTCATATTTACACAAGCTGGTGAAAGCTCGTTCATATTGGTGATAATCCTGTGTCCACTGGTTTGACTTAAGATGAGATTGAAATGTGTAAAAACTAGTAAGGGCTGTGTTTTTACTTGTATAATGATATGGAGACACTATGATCTTGGCAGCTGCAAGAAATATTTGATAGCATCAGACCCACCTTAGGTGATATATCTGAGTCCCCTCTTGAGAAACTGCCTCCCTCTCTGAGCATGAGCCTCAGGTGCTGTCAGAAACCGTATGCTACATAATAAAAGGGCAGATTCCAAGGAAGGAGGGGAGTGTATGACCTTGAGGGTAATCATCTAGAAGGGGGTTTGGGAGCAGGTAAACTGAGAGATATAAGAGTGAAAGGGCAGAAGGAAACCTTGTGGGTCTGTAGACATAATAGCTACCAGAAAAGGAACAGGTCGACTGAATTTATTTTACATTTGTCTTGAGTGCTATGCAGTATTACCAGCTTCTTGAGTTTTGTCATTTCAATTAAAAAATCTCAAACTTTACCATGGACTGGCTTTCTCTCTGAAGTTAGCGAAGAGAACATGTTCCGTATTGGCTGATGTCAGGCATGTATTGACTTTTGGACTATTTACTATTTGTTAATTTATTCCTTCAATATTCTACTCAATTTTGTGTCATTTTCTGTGTTGGGCACTGTGGATGTGGGAATAAAGACATATAGTCTTTAACCTTCAGGGAATCAAAAGCATCATGGTGAATAAAGATAATCCAGTTTGATAAATGCTTGTAAAAGAGGAAGCGTATTGTGCTACTGGAGCACTTTGGATGGGTACACAACACAAAGTGGGGGTGAAAAGGGCTGGACGGGATGAGGAGGTGGTCATAGGAGATTTCCAGAAGGGGAGACATATGAGCCAAGTTTGAAAAAGTGTGAGTTAGCTGAGTGAGGGTGTGGGGAAGGGAGTCTAAGCTGACGGGAACCCTGTGCAAAGTCCTGGAAGTATGGGAAAGCATGGTAGACATGCAAGCACCTTGGCATGACTGTTGCACTGGGTAGCATGTAGGGAAAACCAAAAGATGTGACACAGCGGCAGAAGTTGAAACTTGAGGGGCCCGTTGTGCTTTACTAAAATTGTGGAGACTTTTTTTTCCTGGAAGGAAATGGGATAGATTACGGAGGTGACTAATAATGTGAGATACGCCTCTTTTGGCAAAAGAGGAAAAGTAATTGGAAAGGAAGTTTTAGCAGAAACCAGTTATCAAGCCCAAAAAGTAAAGAAAGGAAGAAATGATCTGAGGCAGGGAGACTAGTTAGGAGGATCCAGAGAAGTTATGGGGGTATGAAATAAGGCACTGCCAGAAGCGATGGTGTGGGTAAAATCGCAATTATTTCCAGAATCTCTCACCTGGCTTTAGAGCATCTCCCTATCAACAGGTATTTCTAACGGGTGGAGAGAAGGAGTTCATGTCCTTATCAGTGGGATGCCTTTAAGGAAGAGAGGCAGTTACAGAGAAAATGGATTGTGCTCCTGCAAGACTCCTTAGCATCGGGGAGTGGGGAGGTGGCTGGAAGCCGCGGAGGAGGGGGAGGGAAGAGCGGTGCCTTCAGCCCTGGAGATGGTGGAGGAGCTGGTGGGCGGAGAAGATGAGGAGGTGGGGCCAAGGGCCAATCTGCTGCTGACGCTGCCACCCGAGGTACCAGCCTCTCCTGCAGTAAAGGCCCGCCTAGCTGAAATTAAAAAATAAGTGAAACAACTATGGGCTCCCCAGAGTGAGGAGCGGCACCCTTCTGAGGTTGGGAAGCACTCCATGCTCCGCTACTATACACAGGATGAGCTGGTGGACATGAACGTCCAGTACAGGCAGAAGCCATCAGAATCCCTGTCTACACAGCTTTTACGTCTCTGGGATATGGGGGTGGAAAACATTGTTATGTTGGGTACTGAGATGAGTAGACTGGCTTCCCTGACGGCTCACCCTTCCCTCTGGCAGTGCTTGCAAAGTGCCCATCTCACCTCAGGGAATCAGACACTCCTGGGATGGCTGACAGCTGCCATCAGGGCAGTTTGGCCTACTCAGGGTGATTTACCGTATTTACTCAAGAGCTGGAAAATGTATGTAGAACTCCAACAGGTGTTGAAGTAATTGGGTATGGAAAATATCATCTATAATATGGACCCTCAGGACCCCGATGAGGAGTTGTTCACTTTAGGAATGAAAAAATCTGATGCTCTATACAGCTCCCACATCTCTCTTTGGGTTCCTAGAGACTATTCTTGCCCCCACATAGGGGCAACCCATAAGTGAGGCTACTTGTACTTTAGCAGATCTGGGGAGGTTGAAACGATAAGGGCACAGGGGGAAATCTGGGCTATGACTGAAAGGAGAGGAGCAACGGGCGCCGTGAAGGTCTCCAGGACTCAGAAGTGGGTTGATTTGATAAAGGCCGGGGTAGTGAAAGAAAAACTTGATAGGCAGCCCAAGAGAATCTTGCTAGAACTGTGGCACCAAATAAAGCCAGAGCAGCAGTTCCAGCCACTGAGGTCCAGGACATGGAAACCAGAGTCAAGGCTTCATGTCCATCCTGTGTCCCTGAAACACTTCCTGGGGGACAGTACTCAGGATTCGCTTGGGCCCTCACCTCCACAGAAGGATGATTGGGCATCGTGGTGTGACTTGGGGGGCATCTTGGTTTGATTTGGGGGATGTGGTGGGGACCAGAGGCCACATGTAGAATTAGCGATTCATTGGTGCCCTGTGAATGTACAATGTGTCCTGGCGCTGGTGGACACAGGAGCTGACTGTTCTGTGATTTATGACAACCCTGAGCATTTTCCCAGGACCCCTGCTGTGATAGATGGCTGTGGGGGTAAGGCAGTTAGAGTGAAGAAAGCCCAAATCTCACTGGGGATGGGGCATTTACCCCCAAAGACATACAATGTACACATTTCTCCCTTCCCTGAATATATTTTGGGGGTAGATATCCTGCAGGGCCTGTGGTTACACACCACTGCAAGTGAGTTCAGACTGAGTATACATGGAGTAAAGGCAGTTCTGAGGGGACATGCTAACTACACATCTGTAGCTCTGCCTAT